CAAGTTTCTTCTAAATATTATGAAATAGAGTATTTTTAAGAAAGGAAAAAAATAAAGAAATAAAAGTGAGATTAAAATATTGACCTCTAAGGGATTTACTTGGGCTCAAGAGAAAAGAACATTAGAGCTTAGATTTGGAAGAGATTCAGGGTTCAAGGGAGTTTTCTTTGAGGAAGGGAAGTGAGAGAATAGAGAAAGAAGTGTGAGAAGGGTTTCTTGGCTTTCAATATAAGTTTTAGAATGAAAATCTCTTAAACATCCTTCAAAACTCTTGAATTCTCGTTTGAGTGAGAAAACTAAACAAAAATTACTATTCTTTTGGTGATATTTTTGTTTGAACGAGGATATTTTCACTTAAGTGAAGATATTTTCACTTAAGCGAAGATATTTTCACTCAAGCAAAAATACGACAGAGAGTTACTCATTTTTGTCATGAATTTTCATTCAAACAACAAATTTCTCGCTTGAGCGAGAGCATAGATAAGAAAATTTGATCCATTCTCGCTTAAACTAAAAGGAATATTCTCTTAAGTTAAAAGAAATATTTTTTTTATTAGAAAATTCTTCTATTTTAAAAACAAGAAAAATGTAGATAAAAATTAGAGTGTTACAAAAGTGGTGTGGCAAAAAAGACATTAAAAATTTAAAGAATTCTCACAAAAAGAAAAAAGTCCACAAATAAAGGTAACACTATAACTAAAAAGAGTTTCGAAATTAAGATCTTTCTAGTGTCTTCCCATTTATTCTTTGGGAGGAGGTGGAGGATCCAAATTCAAAGAATTACGGTCGTTCATTATTCTAATTAAAATATTGAATAGATATGATTAACTGAAACTTTATGAAAAATAATTAATTAGTATTTTGAAAGTTAGATAGAAGTAGTAGGCTTTCAAATACAAAATAGTTAATAATAATTTTAAAAAGTAAAAAAAAGTAATACTAATAAATAAATAATTATAATTTTAGGAATTTAAGCTTGAATTGAGTTTCTAATAAATGAAATAACACATAAAAGGTATAAAAAGAGGAATGTTGTTATTTCCCTTTCAAGATCCAACATTATAGGTCTACTTGGTAACATATTCACACCCAATCTGAGTATTTTATTTAATTTATATCTAACGGTCAATGAAGTAATAAATTATAACCTATTAAATATAAATTAAATAAAAGACTCAAATTGACTGTAACAGTTTTTAGATTTATATTAGTGTGAAAAGATTTTATCCCTATATATATATATATATATATATATATATATATATATATATATATATATATATACACTTAACTTTTATGAGTAATTTCAAGCAATACTAATAAATTTTTATTAAAACATATTTATTATTTTTTTTATAATTTTAATATAATAAATGTGTTCCTTTCAATAAAAAAATATATATATTTGAGATGATTACACAAGTATACTTATTTTCAATTCTTATTTGTTTTTTAATTAGTTTTATTATTTAAATATTAAATAATTAATATCACATAATTATTTTAATCATTTTCTTTTCATGTTTATATATCTTAAAAAATATTTCAGAATTAAAAAGAAAAAGATTACAAAAGTCACCTCACTTTAGCTAAATAATGAGTTCTTTTTTATTCTCTCTGCTTTTGCTTTCATTAGCTAGTGTGCTTATTTGCAATATTCTTTCTTCTTTAGAAGCATTATAATATTATATGTGACTATCTATGAGGCATATAGTCATTGATTATATATCTTAAACTTTCATTAAATTAGATAAAAACAATTATGGGAGGAGAAAGTCTAAAATTTAAATCAAAGATAAAATTAACAAAAAAAAAGAATTTTTTTTAACAATTAACTTTTTATCTTTTCCATTTTTTAATCAAATAAAAGGGAGTATATTATTATCCTTATTTTCTTTTGTCTATGTTTTCTTTCTTGTAATCAATCCATGCAAACTTAAAAGGTTATATACGAGAATAACTATTTACATTTACTAGATTTTATTTACTCTTCATCTTTACAATAGTTGAAGCACTTTTGAGCGAAAGATTCTTTTTCCATAAGCTTTTCGTCAAAATCAAAAGGCAATAAGAAAGCAACAAAGCTAGTTAGTATTCCTTTCACATATGCATAAGATAATCATTTAAGTACGTCCTGAAAGAAAAAAAGAAAAAGAAAGAAAAAAGGGTCATATTAAGTGAAGGAGTGAAATTAACTAGGGTAACAAAAAGAACTAGTTGATATTCCATTTATATATGTGTAAATAAATAAGTATAAAAAACAATAATTTTTTCTCAACGAAAAACTCACTTTTATGTTTTGTTTCGTAGAACGAAGAATTGCGTTTAAATATTAAATCATCAAACTTTTGGTTTAATGGTCATGTACTTCAATAAATATATCACAAATTTAATTCCTCTAATTTGAGAAAAAAGGAATAGCGTTATAGGAAGCTGAATAAAAAAAAATTATGGAGCAAATATTATTGTTTAGATTTTTAAATACTTTAAATCCATTTTTTCTTTCTTTCATAAATTTTTAATATATTTTTATATAATAAAATTAATCTTATAATTTTTTGAAAAACTAAAAATTAAATAATTTATGAATGTAATTTTGATGCATCATCAGTCAATTAAAATATATAATATAAATTTTAAAATAATTATTACAAAATTTAATAGTTTTTACTGATGTGATAATTTGTGCTCAAGTAAAAGTATAAAAATATTTATACTGTTAATATATTTCAATTAATTTCATATTTTATTAATTAAAGATATTTTTAAAAAGTTACCAATAAAAATTTTAAGTTATTATAAATATAAACACATTTACGAATATGCGAATATTGTGAAAATTAAAATTAATATTTTCTAACAAAAGTCGTGTACTTTTAATTCCTTAACCCATTAGCCCTTAGATCACCGGCTAACATTAGTTAAAATTTTAGCTGTGTGAGTTTAGTCATTTGTAATGTCTATATTCTTAAATAATATAATTATAGAATATACTTAAGAGGATTGTAAGTCATGTTTTAAATAGTAATATTTTAAATAAGACAAATAATAAAAATATTATAAACAATAATTTTTTATTAAAAGAGATAATATTTAATGTTATTAAAATATTAAATTTAATATTTGTAATAAAATTTTATCATTATATAATGTTTAGACATACAATAAAAAATTATTTAAAAATTCATTCTTAGAATGGTAATTAAACCTCACACAGCTACGGCAAAAAGGGGAGAGTGGCAATGGCGATCAGCACTTGCATGAAGGCATGTTGGTACCAGCTTCGCTCCTTTAATGGCCAAATTTGACATCTTGTTCGTCCATGTAATAAAATGACTAAATAATTAACTACGTAGTCGACCAAGCAATTCAGGAGCTTTGATTCTAAAGAAATGGAGACATTGTCATATCTGTCAGTGCTTTCTAACGATGCTTGCAGCCACTTGCACAATTATAATGCACTACTCATCGCGAAAGGGTAAGAAGATAGTGCTTTCTGAGACTTGAAGTGAATTAAGCTGAGTCATATTTATTAGGACTCGAGTCAAGAGAGGCTAATTCTAATCTCAATTGATAATAATTAAAAGCAAAAAAAATGAGATGCTTGGCAATTTATTCCACAGATCCACCCGACAGAAAATCTCAGTGATATAAAGTGAAAAGGAACCAATGAGTAAAATATTAAAACTTGATCCTAAAAGTATTGATGTGAATGTGATGCTACTTTGCATGTATATGGCTACACATGCAAATGGATCCTTGCTGTCCAGTTTTCAATTGCATGGTTTGCGATTAATTAAGAATCCCTGGTTTTCAATTTTGAACATTCTTTTTACTTTATTTTAACATTAAAACATTAATTGAAGGGATGATAATTTTGTAGCTTAAACTTTTAACAAAATACTAGTTTCGATAAACATATCGGTTTAGAATTAAAAATAAATAAATAAATATACCAGTGAATTATATATAGAGAGAAAATGATGATTCAATTATTTGTGTGTGGATAAGGATAAAATGATATCTCTAACAGTTTTTTATTTTTTATCAACAGTGATTATAAAAATTTATACAATTTTTATAATAGGACAACGACGTATTAATTAGTATTTAAATTGAGTGAATTTTTACAGACATACTATAATTAGTAAGAATTTTAAATTAGACGTTTGAATTAATATAATTTTTTTTAATGAAATGTTATTTTACTAAGTTTATGGGATGGCGTATTCATTGTAGACTTTAATTCTTGTTCTCCTCGTTCCTTTAAATAAGGATGGGTATTAAATATAAAATCATTCATGTGCTTAGATAGAAGAGGTTCATTTAGATTTTCATGAAGCAATTATAAATAACTTCATCTCTCACTCTAAGAGACTGTTTTCTTTTTCAAAAACAGTGTAATTTAAACCTTTTTTTAAAAGAAAAAATGCGATTTATCTTTTAAAAAAATTAGGTGTGTCTGCCATGCACGTATTCAAACATTTCGTACCACGTAATATTGCAATAATTGGTTCATGATATAGTATATCTTAGTATGACAAAGTGTAGATCGTCCATATTTTCTTAATAAAAGAAATAGCCTTTTGGTTCAAAAGAAGAAGCTAGGTTTGTGCATTATCTTTATTTGAAGCCCAAAAGACTCATTTGGGGAGGGGAGTGTGTTAAACTATTCATTTAAGGGTAGACGTGAAATGGTCATGATTTAGAGATCTGATTAATATTAACAAATAAACATGTTCCCAAGTTTGGAAAGGTGAGGTCAATCAATGTGACGTTAAAGAATATCGTATGCTATGTCGTAATTTCCCACCAAAGAAATAAAAATAAAGAAAAATGGAATGGAATAATATATCGTGATATTTAATATTTTTCCCCCTTTCTTTGGGGGGACTCAATTCCTCTCTATATATTGATGAAGATATCAAGCATGGTAGCATTCTTCCACAACTCAACAAACAACAAAGTATAATTAGGAGAAAAAGAAAAGAAAAGAAATCATGACTTCGTTGAATTTCAGTGGTCTGTGGAAGCCAATTTTTGTGATGATTATAGTCAATTTAGCTCTGGCTTTTGTCAACATATTACTGAAGAAGGTTCTTAACGAAGGAATGGACTACTTGACAATCCTAACATATCGACAGGCAATTTCAGCCATATTCTTGGCTCCTATTGCTTGCTTCTATGAAAGGTACCATCTACTTAACTGATTTGCTTTCTAATTTATGTGCCTTTGCATATGCTTATCATTTAAAAATAGCCTCCTTTTTAACCAGAAGTTGTTTTTGTCCAGTTTAGATCATTTTTTAAATAAGTATTTAGTTTCTAATTTACTAATAAAGTTTATAAGTTCACAAGTTCTTGTAAAAAATTAAATAATAAAACTACTGGAAAAGTTAAGGTGCATGAACGATTTTTAATCAATGCAAGAAATTTTTATTTTATCTCTTTATTTTATTTTATTATGATTTGATTATTAAAACTTTATCTAAACTTTCTCTAATAACAAAATTTCATTTTAGTACTTATATAATGTCCAAAAGATGTTACAAGATGATTTATTTTATCTTATTTTACAGGAAAAGGAAGCTGGAGGGTCGCATAATATGTCTCCTTTTCCTAAGTGCTCTTGTGGGGTAGGATCTCTCGTAACCAACTATACACACAGCTAGCTGTATATTAAATTTTATTTTAATTATAATCAATGTATTTCAGGGTAACACTCACTCAATACCTCTATCTCACTGGACTTGAATATACATCTGCCACATTCTCATGTGCATTCCTTAACATGGTACCTGTATTCACGTTCATTATGGCGGTTCCATTGGGGTAAGTCAAACAAAAGAATAGTCGTCATGTTACTTTATTGTGAAATGTAATTAGTTTAACACACTAGGTAGGGTGTTCTTGCTGATACTGTAAATTTAATATTCATAACATTGGAATGCTTTATTTGATAGGCAGATATTTAAATTAGTACCTTTAGGAAACACTTATAATTGAAATATTTAAAAATGAATATTTGTTTGATAATTATGTAAAATAAGATAATTAAAGTATACTTATAATCTTATGAGGTATAATAGAGAGAGACAAATATTTAAACTCAATAACTATATCTTAATTTTATTTATTTGTGAGTAATAAAATTGAAATAGCTAAAAAAATATAAAAGGATGAAAAGTAAAAAACCAAGTTATAATTTTAACAAATTAGAAAGCTAAAAAATGTCTTGTGACAATTTGAATGAAAAAATTTAAATAATATTATAGATTATTAAACCCACAATAACTACGACCATTTTTGTCTTAAAAATGAAAGGATAGAGAAGGTGAATATGAAAAGCATGAGTGCTAAGGCAAAGGTCTTGGGAACCATTGTGTGTATTGGTGGAGCTTTGTTGTTGATCCTTTATAAGGGAATGCCCTTAATAAATGAACAACCTCGGCACATTGCAGACAAGGCATCGACAGCATCAGCCTCCAAGTTAAAGAAATGGATTATAGGTTCAGTGCTTCTAACTGCAGGATGCCTCTTGTGGTCTTCCTGGTTTCTTATACAAGCAAGGATTAGCAAAAAGTATCCGTGCCAATACTCTAGCACAGCCATTTTGTCATTTTTTGCTGCCATTCAATCAGCAATATTAACTTTGGTCATCGATAGAAACCATACCAAATGGATTCTCAAAGGAAAGATAGAGATAATGACTGTTGTATATGCTGTAAGTATATTTTTTACATGCTTTAATATATTTTTATTTCTTAAAATGTATCATACTTTTATTTCAATATAATTTTATTTTATTTTAGTTTCTATATTTTCGAAAATTGTCAATTTTTAATATGATTTAAAAAAAATGTAATATATGACAATATTGGAGTTGACCACATAATCATTTAATATCAATTAGAAACAAAACCAATAATTTTGTAAAATATAGAGACTAAATAAAATAATAATAATAATAATTTTGTAAAGTCTGAAATCACATATTTAATCCTTCTTTAAAATAGAATTCATCATTCAGAAATGTTTTTGGGATAATATGTGAAAGTTTCTTTTCTAATTACTATATTCAAATATGAATATCTATTAGCAAGCTTTTTTGCAAGATCCATGAAACCTGAATTATCCTTACAAAATTTGCTGCGTGTGGAGCTAGGGGCTGGTGGGATCTGGCTTGTGCTATGTGGCAATGTCATGGTGTGTCAAACAAAGGGGTCCAGTTTTCACTTCAGCATTTACCCCTCTTCTGCAGATGTTTGTGGCCGTACTTGATTTCTCTATATTGCAGGAGGAAATTTATCTGGGAAGGTTGGTTTCACTTGTCACTTTTTTTCTCCACATTTTTCCATTGCGTTGATCCCTATGTGCAATAATCAGTGTTGCAGGATCAGTATTGGTTATTTCTGGCACTTATATTCTCTTATGGGGTAAAAGTAAAGAGGGAGAACAATGTTCCGTGAAGGATACTCAAGAAAATCAAGAAGACGAAGAATGTGGGAATAATTTTGAGAGCACTTCAAATGAGCCCTCTAAGCCGCCTAATGGGGAGCAAGGGTTCTCTGAATTACAAGTGAAACAATTAGCTGTTACAGTAATGACTAAAAGTCGATAAAATTTTCAAGACTTTCATATATAAGAAATTATCAACAAATTTAGCTTCCAAGCGGTACATGCCAATTCCTTACATAAGAAGTTTTCATATACACATTAATGTAATGTAGTAATTGATTTGCATGTGTAATGCATAGAATTTCCAACTTCATGGTGAGAGATGATACAACTTCCACTTACTAATATCAGGACTACCAGAATCAAGAAAAGCACTCGCAATTAGTCCTCTTAATTTTTAAATCATTCAAATTAAATCTTTTATCTTAAAATTTCATTCAATAATTAACAAAAATATAATAAAAGCTTAACATATTGTTGATCTTTTAAATTAAAGAAATGTATGGAATATTTAAATAAAAATTAAATGTGTTAACAATAACGAAAGTTTTTTTTGTATTACTTATATATATATATATATATATATATATATATATATATATATATATGCAAATGTATAAAAATTAAATATATATCACTTTTCTGCTATATTTCTATAAATTATTAGACAAATTTTGTAGTGAAAAAGTTTATTTGAACAACTAAAACTACAAAAATTAAGTGCAATCAATTAAACTAAGAAAACTAAAATGATTCATAGACTAAAATACACAAACTATAAATTATGACTACGTTCAGTATGTAACAACATTCGAGACAGAAAATACGTTTACGTAACGGCCTCTGTGTACGTCGTGAGCAACAAACAAAACAACAGAGATTCAGTGGTAAACACAAGCAGAGGGATACCTTCGTACGAAAACGCTATATTATTATCCTACAATGGTTTGCAGCCAGTTCCACACCATTGATATTTTGCTGGAAATGTCCCTTTGTATGGGATTGATGATGAAATATTACTGAGGTCAACTAACTAACTAACAAAATTAAGTGGATTACAAACAGTTCAAATATGTTTGCAACAGTCTAGAATGACAATAAACAATTTTATTTGACAAATGTAGATTTTGAATCTAAGTGTACCTTGTATACAAATGTGAAAATGACAATAAACAATTTTATTTGACAAGTATTTTTTACTTGATAAAGTTTAGTACTCTCTTTACATGTGAAATAATCTTAATAATTAACTTTTGATTAATAAATAATAAAGTTAGTAATTTAATTAAAAAGACGTTAATCCTCTTAATTTTAAAATATTAGAAGAATTATAATTGTTATAAAAAAAGTATAAAACACATTTTCAAATTTACAAATACTACAACAAATATCTCTTTTTTATCCTTCACCCGTTCGACGTTCATTTAATAGACTACTTTCCTTTATTAATATCAACTGTCAATTACCCATTCTTTTCAGTTTGTATACACGTGACTGACTTAAAAAAAATATAAAACATATTAACATCAAACTCTTATAATTAAATTCAAGGTAAAGAATATTTATAATTTAAAAATATAAAAATGTAAAAATCATTTTTTTTTTCAATTGAACAAAATCATTTTCGTTTGATCCAATTGAATTATTCCGTAGACTATTACATTCCTCAAAGAACGTCACACTGTCACACCAGACTAACAAATAATGACTAAAGAAACAATCAAAATTTCTTTGAAGTAATTTATTCTAAAATTAAGTAATTTTTCAAATATATTTTAACCGCCACATAATATAATATGATACATTGTTGAAATATAAGATTTAATGCAATGATGTCCAACACATGTAATACTTAATAGTAATTTTTATGGTGTCTTAAAGATTAAGAGAACATTTTATACTCTTCATTTGTAAAACAACCATAATAGTTAATATTATATTAAAATGTATAATAGATAATAGATGTTAGTGATTCATCTTATAAAGATATAAATATCTTTTAATTCTTAAAAAATTAGAACTGTCAATTTTCAAAAAAAAGTATAAAATGTCTTTTCAATTTTAAAAACGATAGCAAGCACCTTCACTCTTGAAATACAATGCGTTCAAAATAGCTTATTTCGTATTAAAACTATTTATATCTTATAGAAAGGGCAATTGGTTAAGATCAATATAAACCAAACATGCATGCAATATGAGAATAGGATAAGGCTAATCAACCAAATCGTGTAATAATGGTAGTGATAGCCATTACCTATGTACAATACTTGTTGCTTCAACTCCAGATGCTAAAAAAGTCCCACTTCGGTTAAGGGCACACGGAAGAATTCCTTTTTCTTTTCTTTTTTTTTATATTAACCTTTAATTCTAATCAAATGGAAGAGTTCTCAATTGACTTGAAAAGGCGCAAGGGGGAAGACGGCTGCACAGTAGTAATGTCTCTAATGTAATATATATTCGAAAGTTAGAAAGCACTACACTTGTGTAAACAAAGGATTGCACATTGCTCATTCAGATAGCATATAGAACAAATAATAAAACAACCTTAGAAAGAGAGAGAGAGAGAGAGAGAGAGAGAGAAATTGAGGAAAATTGAAGAGTGTACACTTATGGTTGCAAGGAAATTTGCAAGGCTCTGACCCGAGCAGTCAGTTCCCTAACTTGGCTCCTTAATCGCTCAGGATTGCAGAAGAAATCAACGTACACTCGCCTTTGAAGTCCAATTTCTTGTGAATGATGTTTTACAATCTGGTTGCCAAAGTGAAAACCATATTTCAGTCATCACAAAATAATAGTAGGTTCAGAATCTAGTTGATGCGGGTGGCGGGCTCTATCAAAGTAATGGATATAACAGAAATATGTTCAAGTTCTTGCATTCTATACTCACGCAAAACTGGGCAATAGAGGTGTGATTCAATATAGCGGAGAAGTGGTGGTGGTGGAAATGGAAGAGTGAAATACGAGATAAGTTTTGGTTCAAGGAAAAATCCAGTAGTGACTACAAGATTTCAAAAATCAAAATTACTTCTATATATCTTTCCTGTTTGTTCAGCGAGAGACAAAGGAGTCTCAATTTTCAAAATTGATGAACTATTGTCCTTATGTTTAAGTTGCCAAATTCAATAATACAAAAAAATAAAAATAAAAAATTCCAAGATATATTTTCATGAAAGTTACCATGGAAAAAAATTAGATTCTGTTTCTAATTCTTAATTCAGGCAACCATGTCAGAAAAGAAGAGTAGGAAACTCCGGTTGACTATATCAGAAAGAATCTTAGCACTTTATTGGGTGGGGTGGGAAGGTCGGAGAAGAAAGAATTCTAGCATTTTAATGCTAATACATTTGCCATGCTTATGCTGTTCCTTGTGTTTCATTGAGCCTTAACCCTTCCTGTTAAGCTCCTCTTGTAAACCCTACTTAGAAATTATCAACCCTCAACCATAATAAGAATCAAGGAATGGAATGGCACAAGCAGGAATATAGGACAAGGCTTAAAAGTTTGGAAAATTTTGTTACTAAAGAACAAAATTTAGTAAATGAATCATGTCAAAATGAAAAATTCTAGAGGATGCCTGTGTATTGTGACTTTTTAACAATTTTATTTATTTTAATCCATCATAGTAGACCTAGATAAAAATCCACTTAAACACCCCAGATTTAAATCAATTATAAGCTACTAAATAAACAAGACTACTTTCGAGAAATGATTTGATGTGGGGAAAATACTGATTAGGTGACATTATAAAAAGTTCATATTATAAAACGATTTCCCCACAATTTGTTTACTGTTCCCCACAAATGACGAAAGAACTTGATGTCTAAAAAACGATATTGTACTGTGCAGAACAAATCTGATAGGACATAACCTCAAAAGCAACATTACCTCATTCTTCTTGACGTGCTCTATTGTCACCTCTTCAACAGCAGCAGAGAGCTTTGCGTTAATCTTTTCCGTTTCATCAAGCTCTTTCATTAATGGCTAAACAGGACAAAATGTCAAATCACAATATAGAAAAAAAGTGAAAACAAAAATGTGATAGAAATCTGATATCTTAGGAAACACAGGGAGAAACTCCCCAATGTACTGAAATGCAAACACACTCTAACAGTTTTTTGAGAGACTGCACCTCCTAAGCCAAAGACCCGACTCTCACAATTGACAAGCCAATCTCTCTCTCTACCTCCCTCTTATTTACAGAGGCAATATGCCTTATTTCTTCTTCAATCTCAACTTGCCCAACTACAACCTAATTCAGGCTAATTAACTAATATAATGTAACTAATTACTAATATGTCCCTAACAAACATATGATAAATATGTTGCAAAATAGAATTAATGATACATTTATAGAATAATCAATGAATCATGAAAAATATTGAACCTCTAACGCTCCATATTGAAAGATTAATGTTTTCCTTCTTCACCATTAAGAAAATAAGTAACATGGACGTAGTAGCCCTACAAAAGTAACAACACTAAAGTGACTAAGCATTATCTCACTAAGTGACACAGGCAAACTGTATCCATGAATGCCACTGGACGCTACTGAAACCAAACATTCAATAAAACCTTTTAGAGAAAGGTCACTTAATGGTTTCTCCCATAAAGTTTACTTCAGCTATCATCTAACTCCCCTAGTTGGACACTCGGACTATCTCCCATTTGATTTGGAACACAAATATGAACATATCCCTAATACAAAATCAGTTTGGTCTATGATCTCATAAAAATGGAGTTTAGATGTTAAAAATCAACATTGAGTTAAACCCTACATGTTATATAGGTACTGTACTAAGTGGTACCTCTCCTTCCCTTGGGCAAAACATATATCTGAAAAAAATTAATAGGTACTATTTCCAATAGAAAACAATAGAGAATAGCTCCCTAAAATAGGATAAATCCTTCCTGATTAACTGAAAAACAAAAAAATAAAGAAAGAAAAAACTGCAGATCTTTGAGGGTTCTTCCTGCCAAAAGGGCCCCAAAACCTCCACCCAATTTTCTTACCTAGCCTATTCACCCTGATTTTCACATTTAACTTGCTGCCAGCTCCCTCAAACCAAATTCCCTCCTCTATCCTCATTCATCACTGTCACATAAATATTCCACTATGCCGCAGTTGATTGTATCCTCCTTACCCGCATTTGCTGATTCTTTATTTCACATTCCCTACCTTGTGGCAGAAGCCTTTAGTACTATCAAATTTACACAACTAAAACCAGAGAAGGAAAAACAACTGTAAATTGCTAACAATGAAAGTATGAAGCCAAGGTACAAATCTGGGAGCCATACCCGAGGGGTCAGTATTGGCTGTGCTGTTGTTGAAGATGCGAAAAGCAGTTGCTGTAGACTTTGAATAAGGTTGCACCTACAGATAAAAAACTTGACATGAATGCTCTCCCCATTTTTCTTTTTCAAATCAGGAACAGGGGGACACTCCAAACTTGAGCATTAAACAAAAGAAAACATGTTGCTATCTCACTAAAAATAAGCATTAACATGTCAGAGACAGGCTTCAAATTTCACAATAATGCAAATGTTCATGAAAAATGGAATGTCCCATACAACAATGCTTTACAGTTTAGTATGCAAATAGATGTCATGTAGCATTTGAATTTAACCTCTTGTGCTGCAGGATAAGAAGCATTGCTACAATTGTCAGTAACAATAAATGCTTACTTGAATAAGCTTGTCTGTCCTTTTACTAAATCACCATACCATATATGCTATATTCACAGAAATATTAGCCTCCAATGATTTTACAGATTATATCAAATGTCACCAATGCAAAACTTCATAAACTTGCACCAATTAATGGCTGATCTTGATTAATTCAACCATTGAATTATTATTATGCAGAACTTGCATGTTAAATTAGAAAATTTAAATAATAAGCATCTGATAAAGTGGTTGAAATTTTAGTTTTTTTAAAAAGTACGTTATATTTTGTTTTAAGACACGTCAAAGGAGTAGAAAAGAATGTGAGTTTAACATGAAATTTTATGAGCACAACGTTTACAACACAAACATTCAATCCTACAGAGGATTTTGTGAGAAATTCATTATGCAAAAATGTTATGGATTCGTGTAAGATTGACTTTGATTAACTCCATAGAACATGTCCGAATCCTCTGATTGCAGTAGAAATATACTCTTGCCATCCAAAATAGCAGCATTATTTACATTAGGTTATTGAAGCTTAAGAATTTGTATTACAAAGGTCTCTATTGAATCAAAAGCCATTATAGCTCAGAAAGATATCATAAATTACAGTACATTGAATTTTATCATAAAACTTACAGTTCATTAATACACCTATTCCTGTCTTCTGGAAGAGAACTCTCAAGGTCCGACTGAAGGCTCATCAAATCTGAATGAAGAGCCGATATCTGCTGGACAATGCCAGGTGCAGATACATATGTCGATAGTGCAGCTTGAGTATCTAAGGAAAAGGTAGAGTAGCAGGAAAATGGACAAGATAGCTTATTAGAAGGCTAATATGACCATTATAACTAGAATAAATACTAATATTTTGATAAGTAAATCTTCACTTGAATAAATTTTTAGCAGGTCTCTAATAGCATGCAAAAAATGATCACTGTCATGTACTCCTCCTTGTTCTTGAACATCAAATGCTGCTTGGATAAGAGCCAGGCAACGACCCTGCAAACCATCAAGGAAAGTTCATAAGTAGTTCCATGAAAAACTGTAAAATTTTGAAACTACATAGAAAAATTCAGATTCCAATATAGCTTTAGGTTGAAAATGTCCTAACTAATGGTGAGTTTAGAAGGTAAAGTCAAGGGCATTGTGGTGGCAAATGACAAAGGGTAGAACTTATTTCATAAACTATCCTTAGCATTACATAATAAAAACACCTTCTAACTATTTCATGTAAATCACCAAGATGTTTTCAACTTTCAAGTACAGTCAACAAATCATTAACGATACAAATCATTTTGTAATTATAGTAATTAGAAAACTGTATATTCTGTAATTATTTTGTACTCATTGTTGATATTATTATTATCAATATAAATATCTGATCTGTTGTGAAGTTGAGACACATGGATTCCATCAATGCTCTTTTGTTTTAATCTCCCTTTAATATAGTACATAGAGCCTAGCGAAAAGATAGTTTTAAATCCATGTGTACCCGGTGGGTTAACTGCCCATTGGTGAAAAATTTTTCCCAGAAACCTCGCTTCAATTCTGGTTTCTGGTCTTCCCTCTCCAGCACACTGTTCATGGTCATACTGTTCTGGCATACCATTCATGTTTCTTGCCTGAGTCACTCTTCACCACAATGTTACTGTTCATCAGCATTACTGTTCTGGTTTTCCAATGACCTTTCCTTACCTGTTGACAATGTCTTATATGTCCCTTGGTTTTCTTTTAATCTTTTAAGATGTCCCATATTGGTTAGGAATAAAGCCAGAATAATCTTTATAAGGGTTAAAGTAGTCCTCCTCCTACAAGCTAATTTTTAGGAGTGAATTAGGCCAAAGTTTCTTAACATAGTATCAAAGCCTATTCAATTTGAACGTTGGGCTGCCCATAGATGCAAATTTCATGCACCAGATGTCCAATCCTGGACATGAAGAGGGTGTGTTAAGATATCCCATATTGGTTAAGAATACAGTCAAAATACTCTTTATAAGGGCTAAGGTAGTCCTTCTCCTACGAGCTAGCTTTTGGGTGAGTGAGGCCCAAGTTTCTTAACATAATCTTTTATCCCTTCGTCGTCTTACTTGTACTCTAGATTGTATTGTCTCCTTTGTAGAGACTATTTTCCTGCGGGACCAAAGTTTAGGGCAGATGATTGGCACTAGATGTAAGTCACATGGACTTTTTCACCTTCATCCCATTGCTTATGCTGGTTCGGCGATATATGCTCAGTTGGGTCATCCCAGATCCCAGTCTCTAGAAGCTACAACAATTGGTGCCAAGTCTTTCCAAGTTGTCTACCTTGTCTTGTGAGTCATGTAAACATGTTCATAATTCTTTTCATAGTCGTAACAACAATCAACTTGCGTCTCCCCTTAGTTTAGTCCATTCACCTTCATCCCATTGCTTATGCTGGTTCGACGATATATGCTCAGTTGGGTCATCCCAGATCCCAGTCTCTAGAAGCTACAATAATTGGTGCCAAGTCTTTCCAAGTTGTCTACCTTGTCTTGTGAGTCATGTAAACATGTTCATAATTCTTTTCATAGTCGTAATAACAATCAACTTGCGTCTCCCCTTAGTTTAGTCCATTTAGATGTTTGGGATCCTAGTCGTACTATGTCTACTTTAGGATTTTAGTATTTTTTTACATTTATTGATGATAATTCTCATTGCACTTAGTTGTTTTTGATGAAAAATCGTTCTGAACTGTTTATTTTTCAAACCTTTTACCATGAAATAAAAATTCAATCTGGTATTTCAAAATGTACTTTGCCTAGTAAAATGCTTGAGTATTTGTCACATTTTTTTCAACAGTTAATCGCTTCCAATAAAATACTTCATCAAATCTCTTGTGCTCAAAATCCCCAACAAAATTGGGTTTGCCGAAAGGAAAAATAGGCATCTTATTGAAACTACTTGCACTCTTCTTTTGCATAGTAATGTCTCTCGTCATTTTTGAGGTGATGTTGTACTTACATGTTATCTTATCAATTGATTGCCCTCTTTTGTTCTCAACAACTAGGCACCACACTTTGTTGTATTTCCTCACTACTCTCTCCATCCTTTACCTTGTCATGTGTTCCATAATCTTAGTCCAAGGGTGATAACCTTTTTGCTCATACTTACAAATGTATCTTTCTTAGTTATGTTCGCTCTCAAAAGGGTTACAAGTGTTTTTCTCGACTCTTAAGCATTACCTTATCTCTACTAATGTCATTTTCTGAGTCTATTCCACTTTTTAGTTCTTCGTCTACATCTTCGTCAAGGTCTATTATGCCTCTTTCCTCAGTTCCAATTGTTTTTCACCCACCAGAGGTATGTATCACTTTCTCCAAATGACCATTCTTTGTCATCATCAGCCAGCATTGAGACTCCATCTGACTCAATGTCAGAACTAACTCCTTTGTCTCCTCTAGCCTTGCCTCCTAAGAGTGATCTTCCTATTCCTCTTCGAGTCTTTCTTATTTGTCTTCAGTTCCTATTCCTAACCTAAGAATACATATGAAGCCTTCTTCTTACACACCGGGTGGAATTAAGCAATGGACAAAATGCGTGCACTTTCCAACAATGATAATTGGGACCTCATTCCTCTTCTTTCGAGGAAATCCATTGTTGGTTAGAAGTAGATTTACATTGTCAAGGTTAGCCCTAATGGTTAAATTGATGTGGCCAAGAATTATACTCAAATCTTTGGTTTGGATTACGGTGACACTTTCTCTCTAGTGGCTAAAATGGCTTCTGTTTGTTTATACTTATCCATGTCTATTATATGCCATTGGCTTATACATCAACTTGACATAAAAAAATCCTTGTCTTCATGGTGATCTTAATGAAGAAATTTATATGTAGCAACCTCCTAGATTTGTTGCTTAAGAAGAAACTTCAAGATTAGTTTGTTATCAAAGAAAATCCTTGTATGGCCTTAAAAAATCTCTCCAAAGACATTATTTGGGAAGTTCAACATTATTGTCCAACAGTTCGAGATGTCTCAGAGTGAAGCTGATTATTCATATTTTATCAACATTATTATTACTAACAGTGATCACCATGACATTACACAATGGAAGAATCATCTATGTCACTAACAAAAGATCTTGGCAGACTCCAATACATCTTGGAAATAGAGGAGCCGCAATCCAAAAATGGTATTGTATTTTTCTAAAGAAAGTATGCATTGGATATCTTAGAATAAAAAAGTTTGATGGGTGTCAAATCTGTGGATCCTCCTATGGATCTTAATTCCAAATTTCTACCAAGTCAGGGGAGCTTTGTGATCCAAAGAAGAATAAGAGAGTTGTAGGGAAGTTGAACTATCTCATCATCACTTGTCCAAACATTTTTTTGTCGTCTGTGTGGTAAGTCAATTCATTAACTCTCCTTGTGAAGGACATTGAGACGCATTGATTCACATCTTAAAATATATCAAAGGATTTTTAAGAAAAAGGTCTCTTGTATGAGGACAATGGTCATGCTCAGATTGCAGGGTACTTTAATGCAGTTTATGCAAGCACTTAGATAGGAATTTTTTTGTGGTTATTGTGTTCTGATTGGAGGTAATCTGATTTCCTAAAAAGTAAGAAGCAAAATGTGATTTCTCATTTTAGTGCAAAAGAAGAATATTGAGCTATGGCCTCAATCACGTGTGAACTTATTTGGCAAAAACAACTTCTTAAAGAATTGAGATTTGAACAAGTTACACAAATTACACTTATTTGTGATAATCGATCCTTGTATATTGCCTCGAATCCGAACTTCTAGGAAAGAGCAAAATAGATTGTCACTTCATATGATTTATATTATATACTTCAACTTGAGGGAGAGTATTAAATATGTGTAAATATGTTAATTAGGAAAATTAGAATCTTTGTAATTATGGTAATTAGTTAATTGTATATTCTATAATTATTTTATAATCATTGCTGATATTATTACTATTATCAATATGAATATTCAGCCCATTGTGTAGTTGAGACTCATAGATTCCATCAATGCTTTTCATTTTCTTCTCTCAACAAATACCATTACCACAAATGAAAAAAATGTGATGAGAAAGCAATGACAAAAGAATCATAAAAAATTCAAGAAAAAGTGCGATGGGAAATTGCGAGGAAACATACCACTCGTCCCTCAGTGGCAGACAAGTATGCCTGCAGCTCAGAGTCTATAACCTTAAGCAATGAAAATGCTCCAAGCATGTGTTTCTTTTCCAATTGGCAGGCTATCTTTAAGAATTGATGCCTAGCAAGCAGATTGATGAGATGATTTATGAACTGGCACAAGAATTAAGAGTTCTATTACCACAGGTTACATGTTAAAAAATTCAAAGGTTAGCAATCATTTAAAATGTTGTTAGTAGCGCCACATACAATAATTCCAAATATTGGACTAATGAAACTTGCAAAGATCCAAATCAATTTATCTGCCTATCTAACTATATAAATATATATAGAATTTTCTTACTAGAATGAAGAAATCATGGCAAGCTTTTACATTTTATTAGTAACAATGGCCAACAAGGCAACAACAATATCAATAGTTTTATCCCACTAGGTGAAGTCAGCTACATGAATCACATGATACACTAGACTTGTCAAAAATCAAACTCTCATAGATATTATTTTTACCATAAAATCCCTTTTAATAATTTCCTTCGAAGTCCTTGGCTTTCCTCTACCCCTTTTTGCAAGGCTAAAAACCATGCTATCTACTGTACTCACAGTGCCTCTGGTAGCCCTCTTTCCACATCTCTAAAAAACCACCTTAATTAATTTTCTATCATCTTCTTGATGTGTCAAACCAATATCTTTTATCTTGTCCCTTTCTAGTGTGACCATATATCTATCTTAACATTCTCATTTCTACTACTCCCATTTTTCTGATATTGTCCATTTATAACCCAACATTCCCTGCCCAATTAATGACAATGGACAACTAAAGAAATACTTACTATCCAAAATTTGACTGACTAAATGAAACTTTTTTTTTTATGTTGTGTTTGGATGGAGATTTTTAAAATTTCATAGAATTTAAAGTACATAGAAATTGAATTGTGCCAATCAAATGCCATTATTTATTTAGGTAATTATTTGAACATTTAAATTTTACAACACAGTTTCTGTTCATCTCTAACCACATATAACACTAGAAATTGATATTGCTCAGCTACATTCAACAACTAGTCAACTACAAAACCAAGATAATGCTGTGAAATTTGATCATGGTTCAAATGAAAAAAGATGCAGGTATTATGGTTATTACTTAATGATAGCTGAAGGAAGTATGACAGTGTGACTGTGAAATACAAAAGAGAATGAAATAACTTCAAGGGACGGGAAATTAAGGAAGTGTGGTTTTCTTTTCCTTTGCTATGTTTCCTCAGCACCCAAAAGATCTCACCATATATTTATTCATTAGAAAACTACTCTCATCACACATTGAATGAGGAAAAAAGGAGAACTAAAGGCATCAAGGAAGGAAGTCAGAGTAGGTGAAAGCATGAAGCCATAACTTTTTGTTATTGTCATCGGCTCAACGTTATTGAGGTGGAGATAGCAAGGATTCTTCAAATTCCATTTAGATGGTAGGATTTCAAAGTCATCACTGTGGGTTAAAAAATGGTAAATGTACTTTTAGGATTTTCAACTGTCGTGTTTCACATATCCAAACAAGGCATCTAACATTTTAATTTCTTTCAAAATTACATTCCTCTCTTAAAATTCTTTATTCAAACACACTTAGGGAAAGGAAAAATTCTATAAATAATGTCAAAGACTTAAAGGTTCAGGATTAGGGAAAGGAAAAGAGAGACGTATGAAAATAAAATTATAATTGATAGACTGTAATGCGATACGTAATATACAAAACATTAACTAGTTAATGAGATACCCCATTTACAGTAATAAATTGGTCAAGTGGGAATGCTATTTGTACAAGCCTAACCCCACGAACAGTTAACAGCTGATAAGTAGGAAACTCAAACAGAAAATGAACACCACCAAGATGCAAAACAACTACGTCAATCTTGCTAAAGAACTTGGGCAACTAGCAATCCCCTCGAATAAAAAAACCTTTAATTTAGTACATAACTCAGAAACCTTCATCAGAAAATTAAGACAGATTCAAACAGCCTGATAGAAGAGAAGAAACAGCAACCCATTTTAATAGTTAGGCATGACCAAGAAGAGAATAGAAACACAGCACTTCAAACTCAGGGAACCAATCTTAAATTGGAGGATGTACACAAGATTCTAATCAACATATCTCAAGACTTTGGACATATTTACGAAAAACAATCACAATCAACATGAGTAGCTAAACTTACTGCTTTTTGCCGGTTAATGTAGTACTCTTGGCGCATGACCTTCAAATCATAATCACCTAAGAGAGGATAAAAGATTTGACTAAATAAAATTTGTAAAAGGATAACCTGAAATACAAAACAAATTAATGAAATAAAATAAACAAAATTGAATTTCTTCCCAATAGTTAAGAGTAGAGAAATCACCTTGTAAAATGTATGTATCTTGGAGTTGAGCTAGCTCCCAGCACAAATCTGGAATAGTCTGAAAAGGTAATAAAATGTATTTAGCTAAAAAGAGTGCACATTTAAACAAAGATACAATCATAATATGGTAGATGTAAAATATTTTTGCATATTGGATTGATGATATCCAAGAAAACCAGAAGGCATCCCCAAGCACAGAATTAGTCAGTACCATCTTTTTTACTCATTCAGTCAGAGTTCTATTTCATTTGTCTCCCCCTTTCACATTGATTACTTTTTATTTCTCCCGTTAGTTTATATTGACTTTAGAACTCAATGTGAAATACCATGATGCATTGCAAAATTTAATTTAGTCAGTTATAAGACTTAGACCCAGTTTAGGTAAATTTCTACAGAAATCCTTATAGGAAAAGAAATCAGTATAAAGAATGAATAAAACTTCACCCTAAAGTTAGAAATGATGGAAACCAAAATGCAAGTATTATTGAATATCAATAAGAAAAAGGTGAATACACATAACCAGAGCCTATGGCTCCTACAGAAATCCCAACAGATACTGCAATTCTGCTCCCTCTAACAGAATGCAACAACTTACTCTTTTTTCCTAGTGCCTCCACACCCCTGCCTCTCACTCTCATAATGCCCCTTCTAACTAACTCATGCATTGAATTCCCTTTATAGCCCCCTTGCTCTCTTACTTTCCCACATACATCCTCCACAATTTGGGTCTCTCAACAGGATCCAATAATTGATCCCCTTGCCTTAGCCTGTCATTTGGGCCAATAGCCCCAACAAGAAACAACTTATCTCAAATTTTAAAGAAGTTAAATGAGAGAGAACTTCTCAAAAAAATAGAGAAACTTAAGTTAATTTTAACTTATAGAAGGAATTTGATTTATTTTACTACTTAATTGTTTACTCCTATAAGTACTAATTATTGAGAAGTTGATCCAAAATAGGCCTTATTATTTGTTCCTTCTTCCACAGCTCAAATATTTAGGTCAATTGGATAATTGACAAAGCAAAACATATCAATTCCTTGCACAGCTTTTTCTTTCTTTGTTTTCAACATATGTGTTGCCTTCTATTCAGTTTATGATGAAACTAAATGTAGGCCATTATAGCTTTAAATACATACAGCAAAAACTCTGTTAACATCTAAGGAGTAGTGATGAGGGGTCAACAAGGTCCCTGTTCTAAAAGCAAAGTTAGTTTAGAGCTGAATAGAAAAATGGGCATATGCAGAAAATAAACTCAGAGTGACTTTGCCAAAAAAAGTACCCACTCTCCATACAACAGACAACAAGAAAAATGTGGACTTTGAAAATATTGAAGAATGGAGACAAATAAAACCTTCAATATTCACATGATATACAACTCAAACAGCTAACTGCTGAATTGCTAATTATAACACTCTTCAGACAGGAAAGTCCTCGCATTTTTATTGGAAAAAATCAATGCCAATGCATTATCTAGAAGGCACACCAAGCCTTGGATGCAAGCTATGTAGTAACAAACCTCTGATATCAGCTTTTCTTCATGGTTATAAAGATTTGAAAGTTCTCCTTTCAATTCAGAATGCTTTCTCCTGAACATCACAGCACATGATTACATATAAAAACAGTAACTTTAAAAATTAAACACATTAATAGTCAAAAGAATTTAAAAGCTAACATTTCATTTCAGAAAGCCCTGAAAATTACACCCCATGGCCCATGCTATGATTACATGACAATAGAAGTTTGAAAACAAAAAGAATACGTTACTTCAACCTTCCCTTTTTTTTTTGCAATTCTTACACAACCCCCTCTACTTCCAAAACTTACACATTACCCCTCCAATTTTATAAATATGCTACTCTTAAACCCCCAACATTTATTTTTATACAAATTTGACCAAGATACACTTTCTGCAGATTGACTTACTAAACAAACCCCTTCTCTATTTTTTAGATGTTATACCCCCCATCCCCCATTCTACTTTACAAATACAATACAATCAAATCCATCTCCTAAGTAAAAATTTGAAAATATTAAATACTTGAATGATTAAAAAAACCCTTTATCATACAAGTATTTAAAAATTCTAAATTTTTACTATAGGAGATGGATTAAATTGTTATGCATTTATAAAATAGAACAGGCTTTGTGTAATGTTTAAGAAATAGGGATGGGTTTTGTGTAATGACTCAAAATCAGCAATGAAGGTATTTTTTCAGTTTTATACAGAAACAAAGTTTTGAGGTTTCGGTGTGGCACATTTATATATAGGAGGGGTTTTATATAAGTTTTAGAAATAGAAGGGTTTTCGAGTAACAAGTGAAATATAGAAAGGGTGTTGGAGTAATTTACTCATAAAATAGAATTCCTTGACAGAAAAATGCTGATGTAAATTGATTGTTCATGTGTGTTATTTGAAACTTCACATTAAGGGATCACAAATGAAGTGATCAAGGTTAATAATACATAATGCAAAAGTTCATGGCATGGTCTTGAAATATGGTCAGGATAGAGGTCAGAATTTAGAAGTCCGAGCTAGGAAACGTAAAGGCACTATAGAGACGAACTCATTAACATTATAAATACCTAAGAGAATGAAGATCGAGATGGATGTGAGCCTCATCTGATGATACTTGTGATTTAAGTGTCGATAAAATAGCCTGCTGCTTGGAGTTCTCGACTTGCGCTTCCACCCATTGTCTTTCACTTATACCAAATCTGTGAAAGTTTACAGAGACCATTAACACTAAAAGATTGATGGAATATTTGAAACATGAGTCTGACATCCATCCAGCCTGATTAGATCAAATAGAGTAAATATTGCAAAATATGTTATGTATGTCTTCAGAAGCAACCCCATGAAATCACAGATGGTAAGAAGCCAACAATTAGACTACACACAGGATACAAAAGCTTTCATGTCAGTGTCAGATTTCCCTTAACTACATCAACTAGAATCAAAGTAACAAACTAAAGTCTAACATGGCACTAATATTGGCATGATTATCAAGCATAATCTGGGTAGAACTCAAGTTTAATAAGCTATTGTGTGTGTGTGTGTGTGTGTGTAATATCTACTACTCTGGCAGCACAACTGGGTACACATTAAATCCATCCACAAAAAGTACCAAAGCAAGTATTCTGCAATGTTAGAGAAAAAAAGCACATACATTGAGCGTAGCCGTTGCAACTCAGACACCCGTTGATGATGTGACTTTTCCAAATCTGCTCAACCACAAAAAGAAAGAAAACAAACAAAAACCCAACAGACCCGGTTAACAATATGCTAGTTCATACAAGAGAAATATGCAGCGTGAAAGGCACAGCATAGTTGTATTTAATCTGTAGAGTGAAATACAATAGATTTTTTATGAGCCTTGATTTTGTCCAGACTCTAGGAGCATCTTTAGTTGGTTCAGTACAGAGGTTAAAAAAGAGGTAATGTTAGAACCTGGTATAGAAAATAGAAAAAAGGAAAGAAAGATTGTATTTCTTGGTCGATAGCAAAAGAACAAAATAAAAGAGAAGAACTCTTCTCCAAAGGTTTACCTTGCACAAAGAGTTAATGTTCAATTTACAAATGATAATGGATCTGAATGAACTCCCTCCCCTTTAGCCTTCCTATTTAATCATGTCAGTAACTCACTTTAACTAGCTAACTAATATTCTAAATTTCTTCACACTGCTGATAAGAACTTTGGGAGAATCTCACCACAAAAGCTAGCCATTATAGTTGAAAAGTCCAAGGCTTTATAAACCCCACACTAGAATCTCATACTTCCAATGAGGAACTCAAGTCCCATTCCTTACAATTGGGATCCTAATACCCCTCCCCCCAAAAGTCCAAGAAGATAAGGTGTGAATAATTTTATCAGTCTTTCACCTACAGCTTTATGCTGCATATGGTTGGAAAAGAATGCCAGAATTTGTATGAAATCCTTGCCTATATCACTTCAATAGAAACATAAGCAACTAAAAGATAAATGATTCCTGCTGTTAACTAGTTTTCACATCATTAGAAAAACAATAATCATATATACAGCAAAAAATATTTATATTGATAAGAATAACATAGAAAGCTCATGTTTGCTACCAGTAAGGAAGAAGACAGATCTTTGGGATGGGGGTCATGATGGCCTGATGAGTGAAATACTACAGTATTGAGGATGAGGAAGAAGAATAGTATATTGTATTGACCAGCATGTATACCTCTAACATAGGTATTTGAGATGTCATCAAGATTCACCCAAGAGCATTTAGATTTCCCTTCCTCAGCAACAAGTCGGAATGGACCCTGATATTGAAATTAAAAAAATCATAAAAGGGCATCAAGACCTAAAGAGATAATAAAAACAGAATGAGTGATACATATATAGTTAAGTCAACAGCTACAACCATATCCCACAAAACAGAATCAAGAACAATCAACACCAAAAAGAGGACAAGTATAAAACCATGATTTTCAAGATTTCATTTATCATTTAGATAAATACAGACAAATGAAACTGATGTGAAAAAAGTTCATCCTGCATGATCAGATTCAAGCTCCAAATCTTTGAAATTTTACATAAAATATCAATATATATGGTATGAACAGATCTGAAAAGAAAAAGAACATTTTGAGAACAGAAAACTTACAAATCAGTAGACTGTTTCAATTTGCAACAAGAAACCTAAAGTTCTTTCTTTTGAGGAAACTCTAGGGAGGAGGGGCATGGCTACATGAGATTGACCTTAGATGTCTGATGTAAAATAAAGAAGTCTCATATTGGTTGAAAATGAGAAAACTAAAAGAAGTAAAGGGGATAGGAGCAAGAGGTTCACAAGTCCAAATTGCCTTAGACATTTTGGACAAAGTAGCATCCCCAAGCCCAATCCCACAACAAGACCAGCAATTCTCCCTATATTGCAAGACTTGGACAGGGCCTGTTCATAAAATTTAACAATGTCTACCCTAAGTTCAAATTAAACCCATGCATTAGGAGTTAAAATGACTAACCTAATTTTATAAATCCATTAAGAACAGGAAGTAGCATATATTTCTTTTATTCCATATTTCCTTTTCCCCTGTTCATAGTCTTTCCTCCATTCTATCATGTTTTATGAGTAGGCAGAGCACAAAAAAAGAATAATGCAAAGCATAAAACTGTTTGTGAAGGTGAAACTAGAATATTCAATCACTCACAATTTAAGAGTTAGATTAGAGAAACAAAGGAAGTTCATACACTATTCAGTGGTTTAAGCATATCAATTCTTATGGTCTTACCACTTACCAGTGTTGATCATGACTGTGGTCATGAAATATAAATTAGCCACCACAGTTTCACATAGTTTAAGCATGACAGACAAGCTTCTTTCTTCTTTACTTTTGATATGATAAGAATATCATTAGGAAGGAAAGCAAGAAGGTACAACTTGGGTAGGTTAATGCTTTGGACTAGGAAATTATACAAATCCCAAAGGCAAACTAGGCAAGTGTTTTGGAGAAGTTGTTACTACTTTGATCTGGTATATGATGACAGCACAATTCTTGAAAGTTTTGTATTGCAACAACATTTCCACATTCATGGGAAAAAAAGGGGTAGAAGAATCCCTATATAATATCAAAATCCCTAATAACAGGGAAATTAAATACTAGATGGATTGCTCCCACCCAGTGCAACTATGCCTCTAAAATTATCTGGTAAAGCCAAAAAGGGACAAATCTTTACCACTACTGCTACACTTCTTGTGCAGATCCGAACTTGAGTGACAAAAAGCCTTTGCAAGTACACAACCCTCCCATTACTGCACTTAGTTCATAGCAACCAGTCTCAACCCCACCCAAGACTAGGTAATCCCCAAACCTTGGGTCTTGAACAAAACAATTATCTATCCAAATTAAAATTTAAAATGAAAAGCTATTTTCAACTGGTCAGACCAAATTGTTAGGAACACAAACAGAATACTATCCTTCATAGTAAAAACTGATGAAGAAGAAAAGAGAGAAAGGAAAGAATGCTTCTCTTATTGGAAATTGAATCTCTAAAAAACCAGCCTTTGCTTTGGTTCACTAATCTAAATTCCCAAATGTCTCCATTCTACTTTGCTACTATAATTTAAGCCCCACTATTCTAACAGCAATTATCAGACATACAAGCGTCCAATTAACTCTGACACTATTCCCATTTATTCTTCAATGTAGCCTTAATAGAAACCAGCCATCAACTGTTACTATCCAGATTTTTTAAGTCTAAAATCTATGGGGCATTTAAGAACAAATGAAACTTGTAAATAAGCACTAAGCCAGAGCAAAACTTCTCAAATAATATATTTAACTATAGCAATGTGAAAAAGTAATCAGAAATTTATGTCATAATCCACTGGAACAGAGCGAAGGGAACCTACAAAAAAGGAGGCCAAGTGCATGAGGCTCCCTGATCCCACTATTACAGGTTGTGGGAAGGGTGATATGTATGCAACCTGTCCTGTGTGAATGGAGAAGTGGTTTCCATGATGAAAATCCCTGGCCAACATGTCACAGCTCACAAGGCAGCAAGCTTTACCATTGTACTAAGCCTTACCATCTAAAGGGAACCTACTCATCCTTCTAAGTTATGAGTACAATCAATTTGTCAGAATTTAAAAAAAAAAAAAAATCACACAAACACAGTATTTATCCTAAGGAAAAGCATAGATTGAGAAGAAAGTAAAGAAAACAACTGTCTTGCCCACATACTGTGTCCAGTTGCTTAGCAAACCACTGATTTAGCTCTTTTAGACAAGATGAGTCTCCAAGCAAGAATTGGTTAAAGTCTGAGTATGCCAAATATATACCATCTTCTGCATTTCAAAGGAAAAAAATTTCAGACCGTCACTTGTGGATCACACAAAACAAACTTCATAGAAACGAGTAAAACAAGAAAGTAATATCCAGAGAAAAATAGAAAAGGAAAACATTACCATCTCCCGAATGATAATGAGCCAACTCATGAGCTGTGGAAGCAATTCTTTCAAGAACCGCATTCATCTATAAAAAATAAAAAAAATAAAAAAATTAATGAAAACAAACCACACTATACAATACTTGAAGCAAAAAGAAATACATACTTCTTAGGATGCAAAAGGAACAAAAAATTCAAAACATTACAAATGCACATTCATCATTCAAGCCTACAAACAATCCATGGAGAAATACTATCGGACTTCCATCTTTCCAACAAATTGTAGGATTTGTATTGTTTGGAGAACATAATTAACACAATTCAATCAACATAACTATCAATCAGCAAGAAATGCCTCAATTCCAGGCACATTCGACGGAAACACATTTGCAACTAACTATTAGAACCCTTACCTGTAAATTTCTTACAGAAAGGCTGTCGTCTATGGCAGCAAGGTGTCCATTAACAATAGAAGTTGCGGCGAGGCGAGCTCGTCTTCCTTGCGTCAAATTGGAAGCCTGGCCAGAAAGCATATCAGACTGAGATTGCAAGTGTCTCAGCTGCCTCTGCAAGTCCAATGCCTCTTCTTTATAAGCCAAAGTTGCTTCCCTAAAACGAAGACACAAACAATAATGCAACATTTTCTATTGTATTCATGGAATCTAACAGAATGAACAGAACAAAGAATAGTAACAGTTATAGTAGCTATAGTAGCAGTACTTGATATCTTTCAATCCTTCCTCGGCGCCGAAAACTGCTTCCTGGTTGTCTCTCCTATCAGCGAAGGCCGAAATGCTATCGTAAGCGAAGTCCAGATCATCGCCCTGTTCGGTTCAATTCAGTTCAGTTTCAGCAACGACAGTAACTAATTAACCGTTTTCAGTTTTGGAAAGAGTAACTAAGAGTATTTGCATCACCTCCAACAACTTCCCCTCTTGCTTGAACTGCTCGTACCTGAAAGAAAGAAAGAAAATGTGGATATGACAAAGGATTAATGGTTAATAAAAACAAATTGAGAGAGGGAGAGAGAGTAACTGAGAAAGTTCTGAGAGGGAGAGAACGTTGGAGGGACGGAGATTGGAACAGATCCAATGGAGAAGGGGGCGAGTGTCTTCGTATTGAAAGGGCCATTCGAAGCTATCAGGGTCCAATGATTCCCATCCTTCGAACCCTAATTCTCCAAGCAAAGTGCATAATCTCGCACCACTCATTGTCTCAGATTTTCATTTCTCACCGATCGCTGCTGCTGTTGCAGGCTCGCTTGCTTCCACTTCCCTTTTACGATCTCTATTCTACTACAAGCAAAAACTGCATACCCACTTTAAAAATATATATATATATGATTTAATTTACACTACCCCGCCGGTTTTGGCCTTCCAAGATGTGAATCAATGGCGGGCCAACATGTCGGACTGTTTTTTTTTTTATTATTTAAAACTATATACACAATTATTTATAAATTAAATATTAATTTTTATTAATATAAAAATATATTTTAATTATTTTTAAAATTAATATAAAGTAAATAATAACATTTTAATTTATAAAATAAATAATAATATTAGTTGTAAATATAAAAAAATAATTTTGATTAATATTTTTTAAATTTCTAATTCAAGAAACTTGTGCTTTGTCAATATTATGAATTTAAATTTTGTAATAATTATTTAATTTAGTGTTAATATTATTTTTTAATTATTTTGTTTAACTAGTTATATATATTTTATGTTTGAATAATTTTTAAAAATATATATAATATTTTTGTACCGATAATAGATAGAGTAATTAATGCTTTGAATTTAATAATTTAAATTAATTTTCCATATTATAACAAGTTATGAAATAAATGTGATATGATGAAATTTAATTAATTTAGGTAACATTTTATGGTGCAAGGTGATTAAATTTGTAATTATGAATATATTGGATTGGCAGAATTAGAAAATGCATCTTGATAGTTAGTATTGCATGATTCGCATTACCATACTATTAATTTAATTTGGTTCTTTAACTTAAGGCACTTTGATACTGAAGTCAGGATTCGGTTCTAAGTAATAAATGTTATTTAATAATGAAAAGTCAATATTTTACTTGTACTTTCTACCTTCCTTTTATAGGCATCATTATGGGCTAATGGGCCTGTTGAGTCAGCCTTGATTTTGGCCATTTACTTAAAGTAGATAATGCTTTAATTATTACCCTTAATTGGGTTAATTACCTTCTAATCTTGATAAAAGGTATTCGGCCAAACTGGACCGATTAGGTACTCAGTTTCCTTTTCTTATATGTAGGACCGAGCAGTTCCCTATCCAGTACAGAAAGTAAACACGCATAACCTCCTTGCAGAAAATGCTCTCTGTAGTGTTCACTATCATCAATGATAGTGAACACACCCACCTACGTCTCTCAAATTTGGCTCCACTTTTACTGCTAGAAGTAGTTACTATCAATTGACTCTTGGAAATAGCTTGTTGTAGTAACTACTTTAGGTATTAAAAGTAGTTACTTTTACTATATTTCTTTTCAAGAGCTTAATTTTCATAGATTTTGTCCAAACATTCCTGCACAAATATTCTAGTGAGTAAAATTGCCAAAGATAATTACAAAATTAATGTAAATTGAACCAAAAACAAGAAACCTATAATAATTGAGATTTCTATGGTATTTACAATCTTTAACTTCATTTTTCTGTTAAAAATCTATGAAAAAGATACATTTATAATTGATGAAAAATCTCTGAATCCATAATTGTATAAGTGTATGTGTATTTACAATAGATACTTCGCTTGTAGCCCAAAATACAAATTTATAAACAACAATTACATATATAGAAAACTGTAGCTCAATATTCTAGATCTATCACTAAGACCTAGACTAACAAAATAATTAAAGCTACAAATCGTGTTGACTTCGACTTTCCTTAGCCATTCCTTCTAGCATGAGAAGTGGATACAACACTTGTCACTTCTGCTCACGTACCACTGTATGATCATTGCAACACACATACCAACACAGACAATATGCAAGGGTGAGCTTACAAAATAAAAATCACGATCATAAATATCAGAATACGAACATAAATATTTATAAGCTTATTATTTCAACAATTCTCAACACAAATACAGTAATACAACCCATTATCAACTTATTTAATGCAAATAACAACAACTCAGTTCCAACTGACATCATAGCCATAGTAAATCCAAAAAGAACCTACAATCTTCCGGTTTGGGAGCGACCCATTCTAGTACTTGGATCTAGATAAAGAACAACTCAACTCGGCATGTTTTCCCATCATTACATGCCTATGCCCTCAACTTGGCATATTTCCTACTTGTTACATGCCTACGCCCTCAACTCGACATGTTTCCTAATTGTTACATGCCTATGCCCCTTTAGATATGTGACTCGGCCCCAGTGTGGCAACATTTTGTACAAATGCAACTCAACCATATGTTAAGCATTTTAACATATTATTTCATAACATTTATCAGCTAGTCTCAGCACTTTATACTATGGCATTTCGACAATTTTTTCAAATATAAATAATCTCATACCGATCACAAAACAAGAAAATCTCATCACATGCATCGACTCAATACATCCTTTGATAACAGTCAATCCACCCAGCCATGTTTACTCGGGATTCTTCCCTAAGGTTTGTTCATACATTGGCTTACTCCTAGCTAAGACAAAGTTATACATATAGATATCTCAGTATCTAGTAAATGGATAAAGTCAGCCTAAGTAAACTTCTTACCTGGAACTAGGTTTCCTTATATCAGACTCCAGGTGAGTTCCAAAGAAAGAAACAACACTTGAGGGCTCAAATCACCTCACTAGATTCGCACTAAGCAGAGGTTCCCACTAGGATAGGGAAGAAATTCAACTTCAAAAAGATTTTCTCTAAGGAAAGAACATGAGAAAACAGAGAAAAAAATGAGAGAAGAAGGTTGTCTGGAGAGAAATGAACGTTTCTCTGCTTTGGGTTCCTTAAATACCCCTCCAGGCCTGCGCACTCTCGCTTGAGCGAGCCCTGCTCTCGCCTGTGCAAGCTTATCCTCACCTAGGCAAGAAAACCAAACAGTGGAAGTACCTAAATTTCTGCCATTCTCGCTTGAGCGAGAGACATCTTGCCTGAGTGAGTTGCATCTCGCTTGAGTGTGCAGTAATCTCGCCAAAGCAAGACCGCTAAAGAACTATCTATTTTTTCTGTGACTCCTCGCTTGAGCGAACTTCTCTCGCCTGAGCGAGGTCGCTTATCGCCTAGATGAAAGATAACTGGAAAGGTCTTATCCTATCTTACTTGAGCGAGATCACTCCAGAATGCTCAATTCTGCATGACTTAGTCTCGCTTAAGCGCTTAAGCGAAACACCCTGCACCTAGAACTCTCAAATAAGGCAATACATGTCCTTGGTTACAATCCATAGGTTATTACATGCATAATACATTTAATGATATTAAACATAGCAATCACTCTACACTGCAATTGCATAGCTCTTAAATCAACAATCATACAACTTTCATATTTACACTCCAACATTTGAATAATTCATATAATTCAAGCATACACAATACGATTCAAAAGGAATAATATATATAAAAATACACCAATCTGACAAAATCAATACTCCCCTACTGTACTGGATAGGGAACTGATCGGTCCTACATATAAGAAAAGGAAATCGAGTACCTATTCGGCCCAGTTTGGCCAAATACCTTTTATCAGGATTAGAAGGTAATTAACCCAATTAAGGGTAATAATCAGATCATTATCTATTTTAAGTAAAGGGCCAAAATCAAGGTTAACTCAGCAGGCCCATTAGCCTATAATGATGCCTATAAAAGGAAGGTTGGAAGTACAGGTAAAAGGTTGAATTTTCATTATTAAATAGCATTTATTACTTAGAACCGAATCTTGACTTTAGCATCGGAGTGCCTTTTGCAGGTATCCTTCCCACGTCAGCGACAGTCAGAAGGACGTCACCGTTTCAGAGCAGAGACTTGAAGACTAGTGTTTCCTTAACAGAAACATTTTCGTTATTCATAATAAACATGCACATGCATTTTACCCAACGAAGCTACACGTAATCACTTTTGCTAGTGAAAGTGAACACCATAGAGAAGAGAAGTTGTAATGGATTGCGTGTAAACACTATCAACAGCCAAAGTGGTCACTCCAGGAAATGTTATTTTTACTATAAATAGGATTTTCACTTTTAGGATGGAGATCTTTTTGCCATTTCTTGTACTTTTCATTTTAGATACATTTGCAGAGGCTTAAGTCAGACCTTGTGTGGCTACCAAGGGTTTAAAATTAGGGTTACTTCTTATTTCATCTTGCTTTTTCTCTACTTTTATATTGAATTTCTCTGGTTTTGTTGCATTTTATCTCTTGTAATGCCGAACTCCATTCTCATGGAGGGTTAAATTTTGTTTTTAATCCCTAGAAAATTCATAGAGGTTCTTGAAATCTTGAATTTATTGCCAATACGAATTTCTTTTTATGAATTTCATCTTCTCTAATATCTTGAAAACTATATTAAGAATAAAATCAAGATTCATGCTTAATCAATCTTAATTTCATTTTTAAGAGGGATTCAAAGCTCAATTTGCTTAATTTTGAGTTTGGTTCTCAGATTGCTTTATTCTAACGAAGGTCCCGAGATTGGAGCTCATGTGATTTGCTTAATCTTGCATGAGAAATTAGGGTTTATTAATGCTTGTTTTAATTAACCTAATTTTAGGAAAGGATGATGTGTTGATTTTTAAAAGGATTCATGATGGAACTGATATAAATGAACTAGGGGTTAATATATTTTGCTAATTGAATTTTTCAACTTAAATTTTTGTTTGAATGCCTTTAAATTTGAAAACAACAAACCCCTTATTTATTTTCTGAACTTAGTGCTCACAACATGTTTAATGTATAATCTTATACCCAATGTTCATAAGAGGATGCCCTAGGTTAGTTTAGCCTAGTAATACATTAATTTTGTTTAAACTTTGATAGAGGTAGCGACAACTCTCTTCATCAAATTGGCACCGTTGTTGGGGAATATTAGTGTTTATTTTTTTTTACATTGAACATGCTATGCACTCTCTTTTTATGCCTTGTTTTTAATTTTCTGCATGATAGTATGCTACATTTGCTTTGATTTTTGCATGTTAGGTAGATTAGAAAAATTAGTGATTGTTCCAGTCATGAAGGTTGCCAGAAAGGCTTCTGTGTGGTTACTTTATTGAAAAATAGTGATCACGTCAGAAAAGCAAAAAATTCTATAAGTATGAGTTAGCTTAGATTTTTTGTATCTTTGATTCATTTTTCATTTTCATTTTATTTTCTTGTCTTAAGAGAGTCTGAGAGAGAGATTGGGGACGAACACCAAGCTTCACATCTTGAGGAATCAGACTGAAGATTGAAGATGATTCTTTGCTCATCTCCTTCTTATTTTTCTTTCTATTTTCATTGTGCAATGGATGTCTAAACTCTTTGTAGTTAGGGATTTATGGATCCAAAATGAAAGTGTTGAATTGATGTTGGATCTGAACTTTGAGTATTTGATTGGATTGATTTGTTAATTCTATTAATCAAGTAGTTGTTGGATGAAATTTTGATTTACTAAACACAGAGAAGTTTTTGTCAATAGAAGTTGAAATTATTTCTCAGATTTGAACTAACTACCAAGATTATTGATTTCTTAGAGATAAGTCATCTTAATCTTGCAATCTTATGGTTTCTAATGCTTAATGCAACATTTAATTAAATCAGATCTAAGAAATTAGGATGATTGAATTGAATGTTAGAATTATTGAGTTAAAGAATTAACTTCTGATTAATAAATTGTGAAACTGATTGTCAATCAATTTAAATGCTTGAACGTTCATAACTTAATTGAATTAACATTGAAGTTTTGGTGAAATAAACCCCTAACTATGTTTTATTCATCTGTTTCAATCCAAAAATTCGTAGTTTTTTCTCTGTTACGTTTTCTGAACTATGTACTTGTTAATTTGTTTTCAAATATTACAAACTCCAATTGAATTGTGTTAGACTCAACTAATTGTTGAATTGTGAAGTGATACTTGAGAAAACTGTTCCCTGAAAACGATATTTGAGACTCAAATTTGATTCCAAGATTTTATAATTTGCTACAACTATACTAGTACACTTGCTACTCAATCTTACTTTTAATGCAACTTTTGAGAAAGTAACATGTAGTGACTACTCTTGATCCTCAAAGTGTCTACACATAACTTTTCACCCATTTTTAGCCTTTAGAAGGCTCACTTTTTGCTATGAAAATAACCACACATAACCCATTTAAATTCTTAATGCTTCTAACTTGTGCATTTTTTCTTAAAATTTTCTGCAAAATTAATTCAATAGCAAAATTTGCATAAGAATTCTATTAAATCCAAATAATTTATTTTACTAAAAATTGAATTGAATTTTATGAACAATTATCTTTTTTTTATGTGATTTTCATCTTCCTAACTACAATTTTCTATAAAAAAATCTCCTAGAAAACTAACTATAAATCCAACAAAATCTAGATTTATCAGGTCTCACATAATTCTTACACCTCATCAAATTTGAATGACTCTTATCCATCACTGCACAAGTAGTAAGCCCTCTTGTGTGCATCTCCCTACAATGGCAAAAAACATGTAACAAGTTTATACATATCATAATTTGGAAATAATAAAAAAACATTTTTAAACAATTGTAAATCAAATACTTGTAAATAAATACTTACCAAGAATGTATATATAATTGCATCTCTCATCATCCAACATTTAGTATAAGTAATGTACCACCATATTCTTTGAATTGGAACTTAATAATCCAATTTGCGGCTCAATATAACCCAATCTAGTCTTCTGTCCCATAAGGCTAAGACATGTTTAGACTTATCATGCCAATTCTCGCATGTTTTGTCTTGTAGTGTAGTGTTATGTAATTTATCTATTTAGAATATGTCACAAGGAATATGTTGTACCATTCCAAATTGATGCATCACATGGTTAAGTTAGTGTTACTCACAAATTAGAAAGCATATAAGCAATGTCACTGACTTCTAAAGTTATGTTTGGGAGTTGTGTTTAGGAGAGAAAGAGAAAGGAAGGGAGGGATTAAACCTTATTTAGGGGTTACTAAATTAGGAGGGGAAAGGTTTGGAAGGGGAGTTTTCTACACTCTTTAAAGCCTTCTTAACGCTAATTTTTTGAGTTTCTCTAATTTAGAGGTTTTTTTTCTCTCTTTCACACTTTCGTTTTCTTTTACAATTAGACTTCTAACTTTTTTTTAATGTTAGTTTTTCAAGTGAGAATTTTTTTTAAAAAAATTATAAAAAATAAAAATTTTAATTTTAAAAACATTCATTTTAAAAAAAATATAAAAAGTATAATAATATCATTTATATAATTAACTCTTCTCATTACGAAGCTCCCCTCTTAATATTAAATATCCAAACAATAGAAAGATTTAACCTTGTTCCACCTCCATTCTCCTTCTCCCTTTAAACCTTTTTCCTCCCTCCTCCTTCAAACTCTTAACCAAAGCTTAAATGTTCATTCCTTTCATGCAAATAAAGGGTAAATAAGCTAATAAATCCATACTATATCATTCTTCCATTCTTATCACAAAATCGATTATAAATTTATTATTGCATTTAGCTCTTTTTCTTTTGCATAGATAAATCATAATTGTAAATAATATTGAATTATAATTAATAAAAAAATATATTATTAAAACATAAAATCTAAAAAACTTATTATAACTATTATACATAATTATCTTTTATTTATTTATTTTTATTATATCATTTTTAACAATTATTTTTAATATCTTTTTATTCTTTAATTTATGTCTGGTTGATAGGTATAAATTTATTTATTTATTTTAACTTAACATATATTTGAAAAAAAAATGATATATTTTTTAATTTAAAATTAAAAAATATATTATTTATAATAAAAAATACATAATTTATATATTAAATATATTAATTTTAAATATATTTATTTAAAATACAATATATTTCTTCTGCTCTTATGTCTTTTCAAACATCCCTTGGTAAACAAACAAGGGCTGTCAAATCCAGTGTTCCACGATGGTCCAGTGCCACCGAACACTACACGATAAAATACACAATCTTTTCACCATTTCACCGAAAGAATTTATAAATTTTATATCGTTAAAGGCTTTTATAGGTGATTCCTGCAAACGCTTTGGTTAATTAACTTAATTGCATTATATTTTCGATAAAAGATGATGCTAATATGCATTTTCATGAAATTTCACATCCACAATAAATCAGAACCAATCAATGCACAAAACGAGTATGTGAGTTACCGATTCACGAGTTGAGTTCACAGCCAACCACAAGACATGGCTACTCCTACACAACCCCTTCCGCTTCAAGACCGAGTCGCAATCGTCACTGGCTCCTCCCGCGGAATCGGCCGAGAAATTGCGCTTCACCTCGCCTCACTCGGCGCACGCCTCGTCCTCAACTACACCTCCAACTCCAACCTAGCCGATTCAGTCGCCGCCGAAATCAACGCCAACTCATCTTCCGGCGCGCCGCGAGCCATCTCCATACGCGCTGACGTGTCCGACTCGGTCCAGGTGAAGTCGCTCTTCGACTCGGCCGAGCGAGCCTTCGACTCGCCGGTCCATATCATGGTCAACTCGGCCGGCGTCCTCGACGGCACCTATCCCTTCGTGGCCGACACCTCGGTGGAGTCCTTCGACCGCACCTTCGCGGTGAACGCGCGCGGAGCGTTCCTGTGCGCGCGGGAGGCGGCGAATCGCGTGAAGCGCGGCGGCGGAGGGAGGATCGTGCTGTTGACGACGTCGGTGGCGGCGTCGCTGAAACAGGGGTACGGCACGTACGCGGCGTGGAAGGCGGCAGTGGAGGCGATGACGAAGATTCTGGCGAAGGAGCTGAAAGGGAGTGGGATAACGGCGAATTGCGTTGCGCCGGGACCGGTGGCGACGGACATGTTCTTCGAGGGGAAGACGGAGGAGATGGTTAATATGGCGGTTGAAGAGTGTCCCCTTGGTAGACTCGGTGAGGCCAAAGATATTGCTCCTGTCGTTGGTTTCTTGGTCTCTGATGCCGCTGAATGGATCAATGGCCAAGTCATTCGTGTCAATGGTGGCTATGTTTAGTTAGTTAGGTATTCATTGACATGATAAGAGCACTAAAACTATCCCTTTGGAGTTTGCTGTAAGGATATGAATGTTGCAATTGGTATTGTTAATTGTTTTTATGTCAGTGTTGCTTCGTTTGTTCTGGAAAATGACTCGATTGTGTGCCTAGTGGTTCATTAGTTTTCCGTGTTCAGGAATTAATAAAAACACATTTCTCGTCGTTTCAAGGTGCTTGCAAGACAGAACGAGGGTATAAAAAATCACATGTATTGCCACACAGAGAAATAAAATGAAAACTTGCTGAGAAGTGAAGTATTCAAAACTGAAAAAAATAAAATAAAATATATATCTGTTCTGAGTTGCATAATTTATAACATTAACAACTTAATAGGAAAAGTCTACTTTCATATTCAAATTAGACTCTCAACTATGCAATGCGACGAAGCCTTGTATTTATTAATATGTGGTAAGAAATTTTTTCGTATTTAAATCTCTAATTTTAGGGTTTCGGATAAGTATAAAATATTGCCTTACATAAGTTGAAGTTAAATCATACATAATCAATATATATATAGGGAGAGAAAGGGAGAGTAAAATAAATATTTTCTTTATTAATATAATGAATTGTACATTTTAAAAATAACATGAAACAAAGAGTAAATATTTAAATGTGAATAAATTTTATTAAAAATTACAGTATATATTCACAATTGGAATATACAATCTGAGATTATGAATCAATTTGGATGAATAACACGGGAAATTAAGTGAAAATAAATAAGAGAAAAAAATAATTACATAAAAAGCTATTATTATCTTGCCCCATGGTTAATAATCGCATAGTAAAATCATAAACTCGTTGTGATATTTAGAGTTTTTTTACAGGAAAATTGTAAAATAAAAAATAAAAATTATTCAAATAGCATCTTAGCCATTTTATTTACAGGTGTAGACCTAATTTCGGTGCAAGCTATTAGAAAATTCGATTCCCTTGGGAACCGAATTCTGAGTTGCTATTTCCTTTTTTTTAATTTTATTTTATGTTTTAATATAATAAAATAAATATTATTATTTAAATTACATTTATATATTTATTTATTTATATTTTATTATAATAAGGTTTATTATTTAATTTATGTTTATAATAAATATAATAAAAATAATATTAATATTAATTTTAAATGCTTATTAAAATTTATTTGACATATTTAATATAATAAATAATATTTATGTTTAATTAAAATTATATTATTTAATATAATTTTAACTTTTTGAAAATGATATTAATATTATATTCTAAAATTATATTTTTAGTTATTTAAAATTATATTTATAAAACAAATTAAAATTACAATAATAATTTATTTAATTTTAAATTTGTATAAAATAAATATTATAATAATAATTTATTTAATTTTATATATTTATAAATAAATAAAAGTATTAAAGCATAACTAGTTTGTTTATTTATTTTGAAATATTAATCTTTATTAAAATTTATACACAATTATTTATTTTAAAAAATATGTTATTAATATTAATAAATATAATAAAATAATATTATGTAGATATATTATATATATAATTATATATTTAATATAAATTACAAATACTAAAAATTTAAAAGTTGCAATGACATTCATAAAATTAAAAATGACATTAAGAAAATTTTAAGATAATAACAACAATAAAAATCAATGGCAGGAACTAGAAGCTTGAGCGATGTTTACACATATTTTCCTTGTGTGACCAGGGGTATGACAATAAGAACAATTTTTTGCTCGACTTTGTTGTTCTTTATTAATGTCCATCTCTATTCTTATCCTACTAGACTTGGGTCGACCATTTGAAATTCTTTTCAGTTCTGGATTTGGACACAAAATTGGGCCCATGTAAGATGGTCAATAGTCTTCGTGTCTAAGTTCACCAAATTGACCTTTGTATACCTTAGAAACTTGTTGTAAGGTATACACAGGAGATATGTAGATATCAAAGTTGTGGTGTGCGTGTAAGCATGAAGCAAGTACATGCGAGCATGAGATGTGAACTTTTTGAAACTTGTCACAGTCACACCACATTTCATCTAACCGTACTGTAAATCTTCTTACGGGTCGAATTTCTGTCGGATGTTGTGTTTCTTCAACTAAAAATCTAGTGCTTGTTCTATCAAAGGTGATGACTCTATGAGTGTTTGCCTTTGACTGTGCATCTTGAATTGCTTTAGTTGCAACCTCCGAGTATATATGTCCAGCATTAATCATTGCATCTACTTCCTTGCTTCTGTCAATGAAGAACTTATTGCAACGGGTGTATGTTGTCATGACCGTAGAGCAAATTGGTAAGTTTCTGATTTTCTTGAAGACCGAATTGATTGACTGCGCTAAGTTTGTTGTCATGTGTCCCTAACGTCGTCTGTTATCTCATGCCAGTGTCCATTTTTTCCTTGGGATGTTGTCCAACCATTGTGCAGCTTCAGGATTATTATCTGTTACTATGTTGTAATAGTAAAAGAATCTCAGTTCAGTCATCCCATATGCTGGAAACAAGATTACAAATTAAATTAATATAACTAGCTAAACAATTGTATAAATATTAATGATAATATAGAGTATGTAAAAAATTACCTATATTTACGACATCTTTCTTTAGTGCAGCATTTTTGAATCGTCGCATGAAGTTTTGTGCAATGTGTCTAATGCAATATACATGGACAAAATTGTTTTCTGTCTAACCACTTCCATTTCTGAAGTATGCACTTCTTATGACCTCGTAACGATTCGAAATGAGGCACAACCCCTCTTGCGGGGTTACATACCTCCTTAAGTTTTTAAGAAAAAGAACCATGCATCGCTAGTTTCACCTTCAACCACAACAAAAGCAATGAGAATTATGTTGTTGCGGCCGTCTTGTGCAACTGCCACTAATAAAGTTTTTTTGTATTTGCTAGTCAAAAATGTATCATCCACTTGAACAATTGGTTTGCAAAAGGAAAAACCATCAATGCATGCCTTAAAGGTCCAAAATAACCTCTTGAAGAACACATTTTTAGAAGGAGAAGATTCACAAGAACAAGGAACAAGCTTAGAAGGTTGAATGAATAAAATGACCACGAAAATGGCTATTTATAATGGTAACTTTGGATTCTCAATCATTTAATGTTTCACCACGTTTTACGATTGATGATGACCTCTCCATTCACGCATGCCAAGAGATAGTCACATCTCAGTAGTCACGCATGCCAAGAGATAGTGACATCTCAGTCACGCATGCCAAGAGATAGTGACTTCTCCATTTATCTATAAATATATTCATCCAAGGCCACATGTTTTCATTCAAACTTGCATCCATCTTTGTTCTTCGTTTCTCTCAGTCTTTGCTTCCATTGCTAAAAATGTTGTTCTAGAAGCAAAACGAACACAGGTCCGCTTTCATTGGAAGAACGGTAAGTTTTACACATTAGCATTATTAACTAAATATGTAAATCTATTATTCTACATATAATGTTACTAATTTATTAATAACTGCAGGAAACTGAAAACTGAAAACATGATTTCATCTTTCTGTCATTCAATGTCAGAACCCAGTCCTCTAATTGTTCCTATACTTGAAAAACTTGGTTTTACTGGAGTAGCAAAGCTAAGGCATCTTAAGGTGGATCACACATTGATAACAGCTTTGGTTGAGAGGTGGAGACTTGAAACTCACACATTCCATTTTTCAACAGGGGAGTGCACCATAACCCTGAAGGATGTTGCACTTCAACTCGGGCTAAGAGTTGATGGTTTACTAGTCATTGGTCCAACAATGTTTGACTGGGAGGAAGTGTGTAACACATATCTCGGTATCATGTCAGTCAAGGGAGAGTCACTTATTGGCTCTATGCTAAAACTAAAGTGGCTGAGAGACAACATGTTGCCATTACCAAAACAACCATTTGAAGAAGAAATTCACGCCCATTGTAGGGCTTATATACTAGGTTTAATTGGAGGTGTTTTGATGCCTGACAAAACATGCAACAAAGTACATCTTATGTATTTAGCTTTATTAACTAATCTTAGAAGAATAAGACGGTATAGTTGGGGTTCTGCTTGTTTAGCTATGTTGTACAGGGAAATGTGCAGAGCCACGGAAGTTGGTAGCAAAACAATGGGTGGTTGCTCATCACTATTAATGTCTTGGGCATGGTATTGCATGCCATATATTGCGCCAATTTCTAGTAATCCACCAACATACCCTCTCGTGTGCAGATGGAGCGGGGGTAAAGTACTAAACTTTCGAAATAAACCTCACAATGATGTTGTGGGGTAAAGATCAATGTTTGATCACATTCAAGCTAATCAGGCAACTCTTCATATTTATTTTCTTATCTTTTACACATCATCTTAAATAACAAAGTTAAATATATTTGTAGTTTTTATGGGCGCCATATCAAGACTTGCAGACATCAATACCTATGGAAGCATATAGAGATGTCCAACTGTGGACTTCATGTACTCCCATCCTTTGTTTTGCAATTGTTGAATGGCACCAAACAGATAGAGTCAAATTACAGTTTTGTCTAATCGAAGAAGTTCCTTCTCCACCTAATAATTTGAATGACCTCTACAAAATTGACATGAGAGGATGACAGGATGAAAATTGGGTTACAAAACATGCTCAATGGATCGAGATATGAAACAACAGACGTGAGCTGACAATAACTGATCATCCAATACAAGGCCCATTGTGTCATACACAAGAATACATGGAATGGTACATTGTCAATTTTATCTATTTCCTATCTGTGCCACCACTACTACAAGATCCAAGGAAGAGCGACCAACAACTAAAGACTACCAACACATTTGAAATGGGTACGACTTCCACACCGTCATACCACGAGACTGCATCAATTCCTCTGAACATTACACCAGAAGCAAACATAATTAACACAAGACATTCGTTTGCAACAACATTAGAGGATTTTTTTACAAACTTATTTGGAGTTGATTTTACAACTTCATCTTCAGCACAAATTTATATGCAGTCTCTTTACCAACCGGATTTTGATAATGAACCTGATAATTCATCAAATGCATTTCAATAACTAGACCTTCATGATGATCCAAATCCTCCACAAGTTCATCATGAAATCCCAGAGCAACAACCACAACGACGAAACTCACCACGTCAAAGACGCCACCCTCGTTGTGGAACTGACCACCATTATGGAGATAG